TCTGGGGTGACTCTGATGATGAGTCAAATCTGGGAACCACTGGATAGGGGCTGTCTGAGGTCCCTCTAGCTCTAACATTCTGATTGTCAGTGACCCATGAGACCCAAAGATGATAGAGATAATGTGAAGACCTTGGGAGTCAAGGGACTCAAAACTATTTCAGTGGTCATCTTTTTTCCACATGAGAGAGCAAGCCACGTGGATGTTTGAGGAAGTGTATTCGCAACAGGAGGAACTGCAAGTACAGAGATCCTAAGGCTGAACGTGCTTGGTATGCACCCTAAAAGGAAAAATATTGCCTCAGGGCAAAGATGATTTGGATTCAGAGAGTAAATGGTCCTTTGTGGAAATGTCAATGGGACAGAGGTGTGCTGGTAGATAGGACTAGCAGCCGCACATTGTGATATGAGACGGAGCTGGAGGTTGCCTGCCCCCAAGCTCTTTCATTGGCCCTTGCTTGATAACGAAAATTCCTGTTATTAGAACCTCATTTCTTTGTATTTAAGTGTTGTTCTCTCTAGGCAGTAACTGATACCTTAGTGTGAACTTCTTGTATGAGAACTTGTTCCTCTGTCAAGACCATGTGAGAGGATTGGGCACTTTCTGTCCTATCACAAACTTTAAAACTAGTGCTTATTACTGAAAGTTCCTATATTTTAAAAGTTCCCTTGACAGCTGTAATTTTTTTTCCCTTTTAATTAGACTTTTTTAAATAGCAGCTTTAGGTTCACAGCAAGAATGAGCAGAAAGTTCCTACCTATTCCTGACCCCCCCCACCCCCCCGCTCCCTGCCACTTCCCCTACTGTCAGTATCCCACACCAGAGTGTTGAAGGGATGGAAAAATTTTCCCTCTAGGTTCTTTGGCTGGTCTAATAATCAGATTGATACGAGACAGAGTAACAGGAGAAAAAAATTTAATTTTGTACTTATGGGAACCCCATGAAAATATGAGATCCAAAAGGCAGCCGGATCACTGAAGCTTAAGTAACATCCTGAGCTAAGGAAAGGGGTAGAGATCTGAGGATACAAAGGGAGGAAGGCCTTTCACAGGAAGGCAGATGGGATGTTTGGAAAACAAAAGTTGCCGTATTATGCAGGTTAAGTTTCTTAGGTAAAAAGGTATCTGGTACTAGCTATTTTCCTGATACAGGCCCCCTTTCCAATGTAAATTTAGGCAATTAAGGGGGAAGTAGAAAGAGCTTTTCCTGAATCTGCTGGGTTTTGATTGCCTTTAGCTCAAAATAATCCTTATGCCAAAGAGACATATTTTGGGGTAGCAAAATCTTCTCCCCTTCAGTGATACATTTGTTAGAACTGATCAACCTACATTGACACATCATCACCCCAAACCATAATTTACATTAGGGTTCACTCATGATGTTGTACATTATTTGGGTTTTGAAAAATGTATAATGAAATGTATCCATCTTTATAATATCATACAAAGTAGTTTCATTGCTCTAAAAATCCTCTGTGCTTTGCCTATTTCTCTCTTCCTAGCTGCTGGCCACCTCTGATCTTTTTACTTTCCCTTACAGTTTTGCCTTTTCTAGAATGTTGTTTGATTGGAATTGTATAGTATGTAGCCTTTTCAGATTGGCTTTTTTTCACTTAGTGTATGCATTAAAGATTCCTCCACGTCTTTTTATGGCTTGATAGCTCATTTCTTTTCAGTGCCGAATAATATTCCATTGTCTGGATGTAGCACAGTTTGTCTATCCATTCACCTACTGAAGGACACCTTGGTTCCTTCCACGTTTTGGCACTTATGAATAAAGTTGCTGTAAATATCCTTGTGCAGGTTTTTGCGTGGATATAAGTTTTACTCCTTTGGGTAAATATCAAGGAGTGTGATTGCTGGATTGGAAGGTAAGAGTTTGTTTAGTTTTGCAAGAAACCCACCAAACTTCCAAACTGCTTGAACTATTTTGCATTCCCAATAGCAATGAATGAGTTTGTGTTACTCCATATCCTTGTCAGTATTTGGTTTTGTCAGTGTTCTGGATTTTGGTTCTAATAGGTGCATAGTGATATCTTACTGTTGTTTTAATTTGTGTTTCTCTCATGACATGATATGGAACATCTTTTTCATGTACTTATTTCCATCTATATATCTTTTTTTTGTGAAGTATCTGTTCAGTTGTTTTGCCCATTTTTTAATTAGGTCGTTTGTTTTGTTATTGTTGAGTTTTATGAATTCTTTGTATATTTTGGATACCAGTCTTTTATCAGATATGTCTTTTGCAAATGTTTTCTCCCAGCATGTGGCTTGTCTTCTTATTCTCTTGCTGTTGTCTTTCACAGACCAGAAGTTTTTAATTTTAATGAAGTGCAGTTTATCAGTTATTCCTTTCATTTCACCTTTGATGTTGTCATCACCATGCCCAAGGTCATCTAGATTTTCTCTTATATCATCTTCTAGGAGTCTTATAGTTTTGCATTTCACATTTAGATCTGTAATCCATTTTGAGTTAAGTTTTTGGGAACGATTTAAGGTCTGTGTCAAGGTTAATTTTTTTGCATGTGGGTGTCCACTTGTTCCAGCACCATTTGTTGAAAGACTATCTTTTCTCCATTGTATTACCTTTGCTCCTTTGTCAAAGATCAGTTGACTGTATTTATGTGAATCTGTTTCTAGGCTCTCTATTCTTTCCTATTGATCTGTCTGTCCTTTCACCAATACTGTACTGTTTTGGTTACTGTAACTTTTTAGTAAGTCTTGAAGTTGGGTAGTTTCAGTCCTCTGACTTTCCTCTTCTCCTTCAGTATCGTATTGGCTATTCTGGGTTCTTTGCTTTTCCACATAAACTTGAGAATCAATTTGTCAGTATCCACAAAATAACTTGTTGAGATTTTGCTTGGGATTGCACTGAATCTATAGATCAAGTTGGGAATACCTGACATCTTGAGTTTTCCTACCCATGAACATGAAATATCTCTCCATTTATTTAGTTCTTCTTTGAGTTCTTTTGGCAGAATTTTGTAGTTTTCCTCATATATGTCTTGTACATATTTTGTTAGATTTACACCTAAGTATTTCTTTGGGGGAGTGCTAATATAAATGGTATTGTGTTTTTAATTTTAAATTCCACTAATTGTTAATTACTGGTATATGAAATATTTTTAAGATATTTTAACAGGTGTGTATTTCAGAGTATGGCTCCATTCTTGTCAGGCTAGCTACCTTTCCCTTTTCTTTGTAAATGCTTCCATCTTTTTCTTTTGTATTGTTACTAAACTTGTTTTTAAGATTTTTCTTAAATCTTTTTTCTGATTATCAAATTGATACAATTTTATTACAAAACATTTGAAAAGAGGCAAATATAAAAGTGAAAACCCAAATTACCCGTAAAACTATCATACAAATTTTACTACTGTTAATACTTTTGTTTATTTCCTTGCAATTACTTCCCTTTTTGGGTACATGGGTATAAACTGCATTGTATTAACTGAATCATATTGTATATCAAGCTATATAATCTACTTTTTCACTCAGTATAATACCATGACATTTTTTCCTATGTTATTAAAATGTTTTTGAGAACAATTTTTAATGACTTTGTAGTATTTTCTTAAATGGATGGCTTTAGAAAACTTAAGGTATGTTCTGCTAATGGATATTTAGGTTTCCAGTTTTTGACTTTTACAACCCAGAGAATGACCCAATTTTTGTTCAAATTTCTGATAGTCTCCTTGGGAGGGAATTTTCCTTGTAGGAGATTTTCCTTGTAGGAAATTTGAAGGAGACCCATTTTTCCTTCCCCAGTGGAATTTGAAAATTGAGAGAGAGAAATTGGTCAGGTCGATGGAAACCAAAATATCTACATTTAGAAAATGGCTCGTGTGTGTAACAACAAGGAGCTGCCTAATAATGAACCTCATGGTTAGACCAGATCACCTCCCCTGTCCTAAGCACCCTAGGACACCCACAGGTCTTGCCACGTCAGAGCTCGCCCCTGTAAAACTTGATGTTGAGAAGTTGGGGATCAAAAACACATGCTCTTCAGGGAGATAGATGCCAAAGAATAAAGGAAAATGTATCAAACAGAATTCATTCCTCTTCCATTGGGAAGGAGCGAGTGGGGGTGAAGAGCAGGCAGGAATGTTACACTAATCAAGATTATGCTTCTTAGAAACCTGAAGCAAAGGTAAGAGGGCCCACCAACACTAATGTCTTTTGTAGGTTAAGTCACCTTTTAAAGCATATGGATCCAGGGGTTTTTTCCTTAACATTTTAAAAAGCATTTTATCTATATGTCTCTTTATCTGTAATGCATTCACTTGGTTCAACAATAAACATATATATTCGAAACATATTGCTTCCAGCTCTTTATTCTTCCCCATCTCATTCAGGTAATCAATTTTATTAGTTTCTTACAAATTCTTTTTGTGTTTCTTTTGTGCAGAAGTAGGCAAATACAAATACGTATTCTTCTTCCTTCTTACACAGAAGGTGGCATACCGTACGCAAGAATCTGCTCTTTGCTGTGTGGACTTGACAGTCTAATCTGGGGATCCTATAGATCTTGCTCTCACGCTCCCACTCTCTCCAACAGCTGCTTGGTATTTTGTTGTGTGAATACAGCATAAATGATTTAATTTGTTCCTACAGTGTCCTCTCCAGTTGTTTCCAGTCTTCTGCTCTTAGCAAACATGCTACAATCACATGTTTATATCTGTTTAGTTCCAGAAGTGGGATTGGTGGGCCCAAGGTGAAAAATACTTGCAATTTTGATAGTTACGACAAATGACCCTCCATATGTAGTTGTGCCATTTTGTGCCTCTACTTGTGTTTCTCTTGTGTGGGGTGTCTAACTTTAAGATTTTTGCCAGTCTAACAGGTATATTATTTTAATTTGTTTTTGTCTTTCTAGGAGTTAGATATAGCATGTTTTTCCTATGTTTAAAGACCATCTTAATTTTTTTTTCTGTGCAGTATCTATATTCATTGTCCACTTTTTCCATTGGTTTGTAATCTTTTAAATCTTTTTCTTTATTGATTTCTGGTTGTTCTTTATATATCAGGGAGATTAATTCTTTGTGGTACGAGCTGCTAATTTTTTGTGAACTTTTAAAAAAGCCTTTTAACTTTTTTTTTAGCATAATTAAGGTCATACTATATACATAATTCTGTGTTCTGCTTTTCAGTCGTAACATTATGTCACCAGTATTTTTATTTTTCAAATGTAGCATGTTTTTACCCCGCGGAAGGAAATGCAGAGGGAGGTCCTGGAATGTAGAGGATGTTGCCCTGACTTGTTTGGTACTGAAGTTAAGGTGATAGTGCAGCAGAGTTGGAAGAACACAGAATTTGGAGTCAGGAGACATTGGTTTGAGTCCTAACTTTATCACTTACTGTTTAAAACCCTGTTAAAGTCTCCGAAGTTCTATGTAAAAGAGTTTATATAATATAGGCTCTCACAGGACATCTGTGAAGGTCAGCTCAGGTGAATTGTGTAAAAGCGTTTGGCAAACTTTACAATGTTAGGCAATTATTTGTGTGTGTGTGCAGCTCTGATCACCCGTCTTCCTCTGCCTGCCTCCAAACATCGGAGCTCTGGAACTAGTATCCCTAGGCTCTGTGAGATGATGCAGTAAAAAAAAGGCAGGTATTTAATACAATGGAAACCAATTTGATACAGTACTAGAACAGTAATAACAGACTCAAAGCCATAAAGAGATTTAATAAATGAGAAGGGGGATTACTTTTATGGAGAAAAACTTTGTCCTGTCCTTGGAGGATGCAGGGGATAAAAGAGGACACAAAAATGTGGTATACGAATGCTGAGAAGAAAGCTCAATAAATGCCATTGTTTAAGGCCAAACTCCATATTTGAAACTGAATCTGAATGCCTTGAATTCATTAAGGTGGTTTCCAAGTAGGAGTTCACCCACTGCCTCATGCTTCAGCTCCCAAGAAGCCTCTTAAACCAAACAGTAATTATGGTGGTTAGTCTTAGGGCAATAATGAAATCTTTAATGGGTTAAAAAAAGGTTGTTCCTATTGTATTCCTCAATTTCATTATTTATTTTTACTTTTTCCAAAGATAGTACAGTCATATAGTTAAATATTCAAAAGGCACAAAGTCTTAGTATTTACAACACACTTACCATATGCCTGGCTCTTGTTAAGTACTTTACATTTCATCCTCAAAACAACGCTTATGAGGTAGGTACTGCTATCCCTATTTTGCAGACAAGGATACTGAGGAACAAAGAGGTTGGGTAACTCGTCAAAGTCACGTAGCTAGGAAGAGGCAGAGCGAGAACTTGAGTCCAGGCTGCCTGGCTCCAGAGTCTACACTCCTCCTCACTATGCCCTTTGAACAGATGTGTACTAAATAGCACAGGGGAAGCCTTTTCCCTGGGCTCTGTAAAGAGTTCACAGTGAAGTCTTCAGCTTACTTCTCCCCCTCAACAACCCTGCTTTCTACTCCAGACACAACCGGTCTTACCGATTCATTGCATATCTTTCTAGAGGTACTCTATATGTATATAATAAAATTGAGAGTTTCTTCCCCCTCTGTTTTTCCTGTTTTAAAATACACATGGTGGCATTCTATACACAATGTTCTGTACTTCTTTTTTCTAGTTAAAATGATGTCTTAGAGCTTACTATATGATTACATAAGGAGCTTCCTCATTTGTTGTTGTTCCCGGACAGTACTCCATTGTATGGGTGTGCCCTCATTTGTTTAACCATCCCATGTTGACAGTTCCTTTCCAGTCCTTTGCTATTCCAAACAGTGCTGCACTGAATTCCTTTTTGTGCATAATCATGTCGGACCTGTGTGAGTTGATCTGTGGGATTAATTCCTACAAGTGGTGTTGCTGGGTCAAAGAGGATGTGAGTACGTTTGTTTGTACTTATCTCTCTTTTTTAAAATTTTTCTTATTTTGGCCCCTCCCTGCAGCCCAGTCCTGCAGCGCTGCTTTCCCACTGCCCTCCCGTGTGCTCACCTGTACCCATCTCTTTTCGAGATAATATCTTACAACCAAAGATAGATATGGGTTCTATTTATTTTGGCTTTCTTATATTGTAAACAAAAGACCTTATGCAGAGAATCCTGCTTTTGACCTCTGGAAACCTCTAAGAGAATAGAATTATTACCTTATTTGTGTACAATTTAAGTGGATCTAAAATTAATGAATATATAAGGCCATGTCTTGAGTATTTACTTTGAAATTCATTCGTTTATCTGCTATTGGTATACAGTTTCCCTGGGAGAGGAGGATGGGCAAACTTTACCTTCAGGAAAAGATGTGAAAACATGTTGATACAAGTTGGTTTTCAGCAGAGCCGTTATACATTTCAGTAATCCTGGAATATAGTAATGAGTGTTGACTGTTTGGGTTATGCTGACAGGAGTGTGAAAGAATCAGCTCATTGAATATTGAATTAATGCATGCATGGAGATGAACAGCAAAAGCTCTTTTTTTTTTTTTTTTTTTCCTTTTGGTATAGGTAGTTTCTAGTTTATAGATACCGGAAAAGAATGACTAGTGCTGTTTTAAGCAGTAAAGGAACCATTTTGGAAAATATGGGCCATTTTAGAGAGTTTGTGAGATTTTAAAGGGGAGAAAGGGAAGAACCTATTAAGAATAACAACAAAATCTGGGAAAGCTAGCCAGGGGCGGAATCCTGCTTGGCACGGTGACCAGACTACTCCATGTTCCTCTTGCTTCAAAAGAACTTACTTGAGCTTCTCCTCTTCAAATTTTGTTAGCATCTTTTGAAAGTTCTATCAATTGGAGGTGTGTTTCTATTAAGAAGCATGCTTATCAAAGTGTAGAGTACACTAGAAAGGTTAAGGGATGCTTTGCAGTAAAGTAGATTAATTAACACTGCTTTCCTCTCAGTACCTGGCTGAAACCATCTATTCTAAATTATACTGTGCACACTTCATTAGATAATTTGGGATTATAGTGTGGTAGAGTGGGAAGGATGAGACCTTGAGGGGTAATTTCAGCCCCAACCCATCACTTTATAGAAAAGGAAACAGTGGACTGGGAGGTGAAGGAGTGTGAGTAGCTCAGACTGTCGGTCCCTCCTTCCCAGAACGGAGGCCTTCTGACGTCCAGGGCAGTGCTCTGCTGTTTGGCGATGACGTGGTGGCCCCAGGGCCGTGGGGTGTAGGTGGTGGTGCCGTGAGTGCCATACATAAACTTTACCTATTTCAGTGTTTTACCTGACTTGACCCTGCACGCAGGAAAGAAGGAAGAAATTCTATCTTCTCTTCTGTTCTTCAGAGTTCCCTGTTCACAGGAACCAAACCTCAGGCTGTATTATGACTCATATCATAATGATTTGTCATTGCTGTATGAACACATAATATAAAGACTTATGTGGTTTTAGCTTGTGACCCTCGCAGCCATTTATAGCATTGTTTCAGTGGAGAGAAACAAGTTCCTAGTTTCAAACAACTTAGTTACATATACACTTTGGTGGTCATATGTGTTAGGGATCGGTTATATTCAGGAAAATGTGGGGGACCTGGGTGTTACTCATTCCAGTCTTTTGACCTTCCCTCAGACATGGTAAGCATTACATTGGTCAGCCATCTGTTATCCTACAATTCCAAAATCCTGAAATCTCTGAAAAATTTTTCAGAACTGACCTGAACTGATGTGAAGCTATTTATAGTCTCTATCTAATCCACTCAGCATAAATATTCATAACTTGAGCCGGTAAAATATTAATTTGTTTGCTTTTGGGGGTTTGATTACACCTCAGACCTTGGAGGAGGTGTTACGTAATATGTGGTGTAAGCTGCTTTCTAAAATCTAAAAAATTTCTGAATTCTGAAACATCTGGCCCCATGGATCTCAGTTAAAGGATTGTGTATCTGAACTTATCCTCAAGTTATGCTTTACAATTTTAAAAGTACTTTCATACTTACTCTCTGTTTTTCCCAACAACCTTGTGAGATAAGTAAGGCAGATGCATTTTGGGAAAGCTGAGCCCTAGTGCCTTCCTAAAGTCACGTGGGTTGAAAGTGGCAGAGCTAGAGTGAGCAGCTCTGTTTACCCTGGCAAATACTAATCCATGTCCCAAGCATCACGTCCTCTGTGACTTGCACCCATCGCTCACCCCTACTGGGTGGATTTGACCTTATCATTCTTTAGGTTCCCCGTAAGCCACATCAACGTTTATCTCAGTACCTGTAACAATATAGTTTACTTGTTTGTATGTTGGCCTTCCCATATCAGATGGTAAGCATTTTGAGACAGGAACTGGAAATGGTTCATTTCTATTCCTGGTATCCTTCATATTACCTGCGTTAAGCCAGGTGCTAAAAGTTTGTAGAAGGAATGAATGCAGGAGTGTGCTTTTGGACTCCTGTTACAGTGCCCTTCCCATGCCATGCTGCTGATTCTAGGGATTTATTCTTTCATTCCAGGATTCTACACATTTGTTTTACAAAAGAAACAAAGACCTTGCCTATCATGTACTTTCTTAAAGACAGAAAAAGTTGCAGCCAAATCCAATGTAAATTTCTTTTGGTAAAATAACAGAGAGGGATACATTTAACTGGAATCCTTTTTAAATTATATCTTTAGGTTAGCCTTATGTATTAACGTTTCTGATGAGAATTGGAATCTTTAAGCTTTTTTACTATACTCTTGACCTCAAGACGGCAGTTCAGTGGTCAATTTTTAGTAGCTCCTCTGAAATTAAGCCAGCCAATTTGTGCAGCTGTGGCTGTATCCATACAATATTGGGGAAGAAAGGAAAGTCAACTAATTTGAAAGTATTTTTCCTGTTAGCCATCTTCCTGACAATACTAACCTAGCAAAAAAAAACAATTCCAGATCTGTTACTGCCATCTATTTACATATTTTTTTTCCTTGAAATAGTTTGTTACTGTGTGGGAAATAATGTACATTTGTGCTGACAGGGTGAACACTGTGCCATCTCAAGCATAATTTTCTCTTTTCTCCACTTCTAGTCTTCCTTTATTTTCAGGTCATAGTTATTAGGGTCTCCTCACTGTTCTTGAGCAAACATTTTGAGAATATTTCTGTTTGTATTTAGAAACTTTTTTTGAGAAAGAGAAAAAGCAGTGGGAGTTGGCAGAAAAGAGAGCATAGAATAGGGTTTAAGAGTGACTGGAAAATATCATCCTAAATATAGTAAGTTTCATCGGAGCAGGAGTTATGATTGTTCACTGCTTCATCCCAGTGCCTGGAAGAATGCTTGGCACAACAGTAGGTATGCAGGAGCTACCTGTTAAATGCATAGTATTTGCCAGTTTTTATTGTGATCATTATTGTTTGTTTTGTTTAGTTTTACCTTTTCTTGGACCGAAGTTCCCTATCATACCTGACTCTTTAAACATTCACATTCTTGAATCACAATAATGCTTCTTAAACGCTTTATGTGAACTTACTTTTGACCATATAGGGTTGTTTCCTTGTGTGAGAGTAAGAGGGAAAGCATTTTTTACGTATTCTTATTTCATAGATCACACTTCATCATGGGCATACTTGAGCCCACTTCTAGCCTGATTCCTGTAAAAGTTCAAGGGAGGAATCAAATACCAATACTAGAGCTGGTCTTGGAGGACGTAGCAAATCACCCTACAACAAATCGAACTACTGCTCTCACCCTTATTAGCCGTGACTTCTTGAAGCCCTGGGTATGTGAGTCAGTCCCAACCCTCCATTTGCCCTGAAAATGCTTTTCTCAAGCAGCTTTAGTTCTCGCCTAAAACACAGGTAGGGTCTTGTCATTCCCTTTCTCAGAACGTTGGAATGGCACATCACTGCTTGTAGAACAACGTACATTCCTTGGCATAGCATTCAAGGTCCTCCACAAGTAATCCCAAATGTCTTTCAAGCCTCATTTCCTGTGTAGTTCTTCTGCAGTAGAACATTCCAGCCACCCAAGACTCTGGCTTTGTACCATTTGACTCTGTGTTTGTGATGTGCCCTCAGCCCGCAGTGGCTCTCTTCCCTTTTCATCATTACTTGTGTAATCTTGCCATCCTTCATAACTTCATTAATCCGAATATTGATTCTTCCAGGAATTTTTCCTGTTTCCTCTCTATCTTCTGCCTTGCCCTCTTGTTTTCGTGTAGTTACCCACATGATTGTCTCTTGCAGGTTTAAAGTTCCTTGAGAATAGGGGCTCACATTTCTTATTTATTGTATGCCCAGGAGTGCCGGCATTCCTTGGCTTTCCTTGGCTTGTAGCAGCATAACTCCAGTCTTCATGTCTCTCTTATCACATAGCTTTCATCCCTCTGTGTCTGTGTACAGATTTCCCTCTTCTTATGAGGACACTAGTCATTGGTACTCTAGTATGACCTCATCTTGACTTGATTACGTCTGCAAAGACCCTGTTTCCAAAAAAGGTCATATTCACAGGTACCAGGAATTAGGAATTGAACATATCTTTTTGGAGGACACAATTCAACCCACAACACATGGTTATATGTATTTTAAGGAGAATTCTGTTTTCTGTACTTAAAATCGTTTGATGTATTTCTTGTCACCTTTCAGGTAAGTAACATAGACTTTGGTCACTTGCTTCCCACTCTTGAAGAGTAGTTCCAGAAATAAGATCTGGTTTCACTTCAAACCAGGCAAATCTTAGCATCCTGGAATTTTAAAAGTGAAAAGGTCCCTGTAAGTCCTTTTGTTTGAATTTTACAGTGAGAAAAGTTAGACCAAACCATCTTATTTTCTTGTGCCTTGGGTCATACAGCTGTGACCATAAAGTAGACAAATAATACCATGTCCCCTGATGCTAGGGGCAGTGTTCTTTTCTTGCTTTCAACAAAAGCAAAGAAATGAGGTGGTTCTGATTAGAATAAATGTCTTTCAGTCACGTATTTTAAGGCATAAGCCCAAGGGTTATTTTTCATACCTCTTTGAATCACGCAGAGAGTTGCCCTCAGTAAAGTGCCGGAAACCATGGTTGGTGCTCATAGAAGCTCTGCGATAACTGGGCTGAAGTGAATGTGGACATGAAGAGAATATATGTGTCATGTGATTACAAATAACTCAAGCCCCGTGTATGGGGGATGGTAGGGAAAAGAGGTGGCAGTGTGCCGGGAGGCTTCCATACATTATCTCCTGTAATCTTCATGACAGGCCCTAGTGCTGCTTGGGGGACTGCCCCAAGGCTGTAGAACTAGTGGGAGCCGGAGCTGAGACTGGATCCTGGGGCTGCCTCATTCTGAAGCACTCGTTTCACCTCGTTTCTCCTGCTTGTGCTTCCTTTACCAAACTACCCAACTGTGATTTCCTCTACTAATATTAGTGATGGTAAATGTCAAAATTATAATTAGGTATCAGACGAAAGACAGTATTCATATGGAAGGAGGAGAATAGAGTTTCCTTATATTTCATAAAACACTCTTTAATATATTTGGGTCAAAAAATCCGACAATCTGACATACATACTTTTTCCCTTCCCATAGCTTTTATTTTCATCTTTTTAAAATTGAAAAATAACATGAAACATTTACTAAGCTGTGTTGATTATTACATTTTAGCTCTTTTAGACAAGCTGTCCTCAGTTTGATTGATATTTGAGTCAGCATTACTCTTCAAAAATAAGGACTGAACAACTTGCTTTGTAAATTATAATGCCTTTTTGGCAAAATGTAATGGGGCAAATTAGATTGAGCAAGAAAACACAAGGCAATTAAATCTTTGTTGATTTTTCACTTTTATTAATTTCAACCTCTGTACTATGTTTTATTAATTTCAGAGGATATTTTTAATGACCTTGTGTAATTTTAAAATTTAGTGGTTTGGGGCACAGTCGTGAGGACTTTTTTGGTTATAAGTCACAGAAAACTAACTCCAGGAATAACACTCACTTAGGAGTAGCTGGCTTTGATTGCCAACAGGACTCTGTCTCATTCCATTGCTCACCTCTGCTTTCCTCCACTTCATTTTCAGATAGACTCTTGACTCATAATGGCAAAACGTAGGCACCAGCAACTCCAGGGTTACCATTTACCAACCGAGCAACTGAGTTTGAGGCCTGGCTCTCACAGCTGGCTGGGGGTCGTGTGGTCATGTCTGATTGGCCAGGCCTGGAACATGGACTACCTCTGGACTGACAGTAGAAGAAAAATGATTTCCAAAATAAACTTGCCATGTTATTATCAAAATTAGCAGGAAAGGATACTGGGCATGGTAGCTTAGAACACAGGTTGTTAAAAGAAGGTACAACCAGAACTTTCTATTTTTTTGGTGCTAGGATTTAAGAAAACAAATCTGCTACCTTAAAAGAATATGTTCAGTGTGAACGACCACTGCCTTAAAAAAGGACCAATAATGCACCATTTGTCATTGGGTACCAGAGACTATCAATTTTTTTAGAAAAATTGTAACATTAACAGTTCTTTTAAGTAATTATCACCATTCTGGAGCACTTACTGTGTGTCAGCCTCTGTGTGAAGCACTTTACATATTTCATATAATCCCTACGGCAGCTTCGTAAGGTTGGCATTAATATTCTCATTGTGCTGATGAGGAAATGGAAGCTCAGAGAGTTTGGATTTGAATCCAAATGTGTCTGACTTTGCTTCACTTATCCTGTCTCTTAGTGGTACAGTTCGCTTTTGTCGGTCTGTCTGTCTCACTATCCATCTTTCAGGCATCCCTTCAGAACTACTCCTCCTCCAGCGTTCTCTAAGCAGTTGGCATCCCTTTTGCCTTAGGCACCCATCGAGTCCGCCACTGAATCTTACCAATTCTGCCTCCTGAACATGCCTCCAGTATTTGCCCCCTTCTTCCACCTTCGTTCCTCTCACTCCGGCCTTCATTATGAAGGGCCTGAACTCTTAACAATAAATTCAATTTGGCCTTCCTGCTTCCGGTCTTAATCTGTCCCACCCCTGTTTCTCGGAGCAGCCAGATTGAACTTTTAAAAAGCCAGACCTGAGCTTATCAACCTGTGTTCACCTTGGCTTCTCGGTGCACTTAGTGTGCGACCCATGCCCTGCCTGCCTTCCCAGCCCACCTCTCAGCTTTCCTCTCTCTGGCTTTTTTTTTCCTTTCTCTGGTAGGTCAATATTACATCTTACCATGTCCCTCCCTCTTCCTATTGTGCTCTTCATTCTCACACTTTCTCTCTTTAACTCTTACTTCTTCAAGTCCTATTTAAATGTCACTTTTTAAAATCCTTAGGGACTTCCCTGCCCCCCTCCCCCTACCTCTTAAATCTGAAAAATAGGAGACTCTTATCACATCCTTTACTTTTCCTTTTTGTACTTACGACAATCGGTAGTTATACATTTATATATGATTATCAGCTCAGTATTCCCCTCTAAACCAGGTACTGCATGAGGCAGGGACCAAGTCTTTTTAGTTAATTAACTGCTGAATCTGTCGTATCACCCACAGTGCCTGGAACACAGTAGGTCCTCAGATATGTGTTGAATGGATTGACAGACTAATAACAATATGCCTAAAGCAGCGCATTGTAAATGATGACCCCTTCCATAGTTCTTACATTCTGATTTCATTTATTACTCAAGAACAAACCTATATTTAGAGCAGTTTTATCCCAGTAGCTTTTGTTTTACGCAGGAATAAGCCATGCTTCCTGTATTGCTGATTGTTATTGTTAGTAATTCAGATGCTATACACTGATGCACTTTGTTTTTAAAACTTCTCTATCAGAGCCAGCCATAACAGAGGAAAATACTAAATGTTAGAATGTGTAATTGCTCTCAATTTGACCTGAGCCTGGGTGAGTGGGAGAGGAAGAGAGGAGAAGGGTCTATTGACTTGCTCCAAATGGTGCCTTGCTCAATGACATAGAAGCTCGAACACTCCTCTACCTCAGGTGTGCCATCCCCAGAACCCAGGTGTCCAAATTCAGCTCTCTCCACATGTCCTCCACTTTCTGGCTGCCATCTTTGTCCAAAGTGGCTCTAGTAGGAGAAGCTTTCTCTCCAGTAATTTATTATGTAAAGCAGTCTTCCCAAACTTTGTCAAGGACACCGGCAATATTTGTATGGTCCACTGACGTCCTGTCTGCCCCAGGTCTGAGAAGATCACTGTCTCTGCACACTTGCAACCTTCTGACATGCACACAGGCACATTGGCTGGGAAACTTCTCTCTCCGAGATCACTCCAAGTGTTGCAGATAACGTTAACTGCTTTCTCTCTTTTTCATCCACAGTTGGTCATGTTCGGAGTTTGACCTGAACGAGATTCGCCTGATAGTTTACCAGGACTGTGAAAGGAGAGGCCGTCAAGTCTTGTTTGATTCTAAAGCTGTTCACAAGATTGAAGAGGGGGCAGCTCAGGTATGAAATGCAGATTTGCTTTCATCTTTTTTGTTTGTGCTTTAACCGCCTGTTTGATCAATCGTTTGTTAATCCATAATCTTCTCTGTGAGCTATGTTGTACAATGCCATTAACAATTCAGAAGAAACATAAACAAAGGCTCCCCCCCACTGCCACATTTGTAGTCTTATTAATATACACAGGTGAAACTGTTAGCAAGTAATCATGACAAATGCTCAGCAACATACTGTAAATATTACTAGAGGTGGATTTGCTGGTGTATTGCAATCCAGTAAGAGTCTGATGCCAGATAATACGTGTAATGGGAAAACCAAGAACTCTCAAATTCGTGAAGTGTTAGCCTGAAGGGAAGTTGATAGATCATCATGTCTAGTATTTCTCATAGATAGTAAGAGGTATTATGTAGCACTGGGTTAAACAAAATTAAATAGCTTTCCTCACTATAGGGCTTCAGGATGCTAACAGGCATTGTCATCTTCAAAAGGGAGTGCTTCTCAAACCTATCTGACCAATGAAGCTTTTATTTATTTCCTTTTTTTAGAGGAGGGCAGGATGGTGGTGGTAGTGTTGTAGGGCTGGGCATGGGGGGTGTCTGAGGATGGTTAAAGTGCGGACAGAGCAGCTGTGGATCCTTTGGAGCCAGAACAGGAAACTGATGTGTCCAGATAACGAGCCAGAGTCTGGTCCTCCCTGAGTCAACTGGACCTCAGTCCAGAGTACTTCTAAGTTGTCACTTTAGACCTTTCGTTCTCTCTTCAGTAGTTATTCAGCTGTCTACAAATTAAATAAATCCATTTGTATTCATTCTTTTCATGTTCCATAACTTGCCATGTATACTGACAAAATTCTGGCAGTTTATAGAATGTGTAGCTAAGGAAGTGAATAGTTTATATCATGATCTTTGTCTCATCAGGGCCAGGGGCTGTTTTCCTGCTTTGGATGAGGATCATTTCTGCAGGAAGGAAGTGTTTGGTTAGAGGCAGTTTAGCTGGGTGGATTCTGTGGTGCTTTAAAGTGGAAGTCTGCCAGATAGCTAATCATTACAGTAGTGGTTGAGCTTGTTAGGTTGGTAGGTGTTAGGGGGAGGCAAACAGGAGGCGAGTAATCTCTTAAGTGATTCACCTGTAGGCTTTAATGGTAGATTCGTGTGAAAGTTTACGTGAGCCAGCACTTGACCCTTGTTTGGTGGACAGGACATGGTTTCCCCTTGATTTCCCACATCAGTTCCCGTTTCCTTGAAGGCCTCGAACAGATAGTTTAACTGAACACCCACACTCTATCACTAGGGCTCCTAATGGTAGTAATAGGTGGAGGGAAAAAAATTCACTCCTGTTTTCAAAAGGAACTGAATCTTCAGTATATCGGAGCAGTGATGACACTGGAATCTGGAGCAGAAGCTTTCTTGGAAGCACTCATTTAGTCAAATAGGCAACTATGTCTAGGGAGGCTTGTAACTTACTGAAGGCTACAGAGAGTCCAGTCAGTGCTGTATTTACTGTACCAGGTGCTATCTCCAATTATAGGCTGCTCAGTGTGTTGTACCCCAGCCAAAAGGTCTAGCAGTCTGCGAGGCAGGTGTGGACTTTGTGTCACTTTAAGCCCTCTGAGGGGCTGTGTTTCTGGCTTAAGTGGTATTAAGTAACAGCTAGATCTGAAGAGGGTGTTGAGGGAGTGCCAGACACTCGGGAACAACCAAGTACAACTTCGAATGCCGTCACTGCAGGAGTGACTGTTATGGACCAGCACAGTTTGTGTTTTCCTTACATTCTTTTCCCATTTTCAGCCCCCCACCCCCTTGGCAAGCACAAAACATCATGAGTTTGTATCAAGCACATGACTGCAGGCATTTGCATTAGACCACCAGTGTGACTGTCACATTGGAGATTAGATAAGCTGCAGTTGCATTCATGGTTTTCCAAGCAAAAGCTGCACACAAAAAAAGCAAATAAGACTCAGAATAGAAACAACTTAGCACAGAGGGCACAGGGTGCTTCTGTAGGGAGCAATATATTTTGGTGTAGGAGGAAGGGAAAAATTAATAAAGGTCTATCTTTATACCTTTATGTCACTGTCATAAGAACTGACAGTGAACTCTATTTCGGGACTATATAGTAGATAATCCTCTATTACCCCTAACCTTTAAAGGCCATATTTCCATCACATGCTGTATAATTCACAGGAGCTCCTATTTCAGAGTTTTGGCTTCATCTTTCACAAACTCGACCTCATGATTTTCTTTCCTATTACCTTTGAAAGAAAGCTAGAGGAGGTTTGTCATTAAAAAGACAAGCCCAGTCTTTCCATATTAATAGTTTTACCTTCTTAGTTCATTTGCTTGGTAAAATTTAAATTTGAGGCAATGTCTTTCTCCTCATCAATTTTATAGATGATGACTATACATAGTACTAAAAATCCTCTAATAACCAAAACAGAGATCAGATCTCATTGATGGTTTTAAAATATGAATTGGAATCTAAATAATAGTTGAATTATTTAAGGAGAATGAAGTTTTAATAAATAACCTTTTGACTAGTACCCTTCTTCAGTATCTCCCCCTCCCAAATATTACAGACTCTCAGGAACCACATTTTGCCCTCATTAAAAAGAAATAAAAACTCTTTTTTCTGTGCAGCTTAGGCACAACATAACAGAAGAATTTAACAAAGGAATTCCCAATGAAGAACGTGTTGAGGAAGCCTGATGTACTTAGCATTACTTTACCTTGCCTGTCTCTCTTAACCCAGAAAACAGAGGATGTCCCTATTAAAATGTCAGCCAAGTGCTGTCAAGGAAGCAGCAGTGGCAGCAGCAGCAGTGGCAGCAGCAGCAGTGGCAGCATCTCCTCTTCCCATAGTTCTTCTGGGGGATCTTTACAACATGCTAAGGAACAGCTTCCGAAGTACCAGGTAAAAACATGCCTTCCGTGTGGAATACCCCAGGGGGCTGAAGTCATTTACTGTGATTTCTCCATGGGGAACGGTGCCGGCTTGAGGGGTCTACTCCAGGAATATGAGAATAAGTCTTCAAAAATGTGCTCTTAAATATTTCGTGTCAAGGCTGTTTTCACACTTTGGCTTTTATTTCTTGATAAAAACTATAATTGAGCAGAGGTGATCCAGTATAATACATACCAAATGAGGAAGAAATATTGCAAATAAGAACTCTAAGGATTCTGGGGATGTATATGGGCATCCTAAGAAAATAGCACTTGCCAGTAGGAGGAAGAAAACCTTGTGTGGGAGAGGACAGAAGTGGCAAGACCTAACTTGAGTGTGAAGGACAGAGGGCTGGTAGCATTTTCTATGCTCTGTGTGTGTGTGTGTGTGTATAAGGCACTGGAGGATAGAGATTAGGGTTATTGAGAAATATTGGCTGACTAGATTTAAGGGAAGAAATGTTTCATAAATATTGAATAGCAGAAGAGTATTAATTGATGAAGGATATATCAGTTTATATTTTGACCATGTGGAATTTTGTTTTTCATGTTGCTGGAAAAACAAAGCCAGGGAAATTACCAGCAGCCACAGGTCTGTAGAACTTTATTAATTTCATGGTCAGGATTTGTGCTGTGCATTTGCCCTTATTCCACAGGGCTCCTGGGTCTCAAAGTGATTTGTAGTTTAAAAAGTATAGAGTGAAATTATCAGCTAATTGAGAATCACAGTCGGCTTGTGGACCTTGTATCCCAAGAAAAAGCAGATAATTAAATGGAAATGGTGGGTGGAAGTCATTAATAAAGAATGTGGAAGCCAGTTGGTTTCTGTCTGCATATAGTGAGAAGAGGTTGGTGTGAGCTGTAACCAGAGAGAAGCCTGGTTAAATAAAGCTGATAGATTTATGTTTCTCTTTCCTCTGCAAACACGTATAAGTAGGTGTGCATATGTACGTTAGTGTGTGCGTATATGTATGTGTGTGTATTTGGAGTTCAAAAAAATAAAAGATTGAGAAGAGAGTCTTAAGGATGATTCCCATGTTTTTGCTTAGGTGGAAAGCATAGCAGCAGAGAATTTGGCTGGTGGGCTGGGTCACAAGAGAGTTTTGTTTTGGTCAAGCTATGCTGGGGTGCCTATGGCATACCAGCTTGGTTGATATTCGTATCTATCCCGTTCTTCAGTGTGTCACCAACTGAATAGGTGCTTTGAATCCTGTAACCAAACACATCCATTCACATATCATAATATGCTCATAATTTTCAAATATTATAATATGTGACTGAATGTATTTGGATATAGGATTCTAGAACTGAAGTAGTGGTCTGGGCCTAGAGATAAAGATGTGGGGGTTATTCCTATGTAAAGAATAATCAAAATCAATGGTTGAGAATGCCAGCAATGATAGGAGGCCTTCTGAGGAACAACCCTGTTCAAGGGGAGATCTGGGAAAGAAGAGATTCACAAAGGAGAGTAATTAAGAGCATCAGATACCATGAGAGACATTTAAGAAAGCAAACTGGAAAGTGTTCATTGAATTTGACAGGAAGGTAAAGGTCATTACTACAGCAGTTGAATGCATGAGGCTGCAGTAGGTTAACAAGCAAATGAGGTGGGGAAAGTAGAGGCAATGCGGTCCACTCTTTTAGATGACAGAAGGGACAGGGAAGACTGGTCAGAAGCTGGAAGGGTCAAATATTTTTGTAATTTTTTTCTAAAACTTTAGAGGTATCAGACCACGTGTTTTTTGGACACTCAGAACCCTGCCTGTACCAATTGGCATTTTTGTTCAACGCTGTTAATTATTTGGTTGAATAATACTGAACCATATTTCTTTTCAGGATGTATTCTTAATATACCAAGAGAAGAGTTACCCTTTTTCTTTCATAACTTAATCTTTCTATTTAGAGTTTATAAGTGGAAATAATGAAAATCTTTGTTTCTCATAATAAGATTAAAAACTCTGCTAAAACACTTGGATCCTGTGTGAAGATATTGTGTATAAAGAAGAAATCATGAACATCAGTAATAATTTGGGGAAAAAAATAGGCAACCACCATTTTAGATTGTTTATAAAATGATTAATTGCTGCTTTGAAAAAGAGTTTTAATTACCCACTAAACCAAGGAGGGATCCAGAGATTAATAAACACTATTCTCTGTTGCATTGCATGTCATGTTGTGCCACATACTAACTTTGATTTTGGTTTCCTTCATGTATGGTAGTACACAAGACCAGCTTCTGATGTCAACATGCTGGGGGAAATGATGTTTGGCTCAGTTGCAATGAGTTACAAAGGATCCACCTTAAAGATACACTACATACGGTGAGTTGGGGCTTCCTTTTCTACTAGTTGTGAGAAGTGGAATGCTGATAGTGACTCCTTAATTCAAAAATGCATTTCTCCATCTTTTTTTTATTTCCAGGTCTCCTCCACAATTGATGATTAGTAAAGTCTTCTCTGCTAGAATGGGCAGCTTCTGTGGGAGTACAAATAAGTAAGCGTGGGATTTTGCAACCCCTTGTTTTTTAAAGTGGCTATTTCTGGATAGAGTAATTCTTTGAGGACCATAAGGCTTTTTGAAATGAGAAGCAGGATGAGTCCACACTAACAAAAGGATTTTAAAAATGGCCATTGTCTACACATACTATGAAAAGGCCTTGACTTTATCAGGTGGCCTTAAAGACAAATGACTACATATATTTTAGGTGTCCATCTGTTACCCACAGTGTTCCTACTGTCACTTGCCAAGCTTTCATTCCCTGGAAAATGAAAAGTGAAGGGGAAAAAAGGGGGCTACATTACTGAATTTCTCGTATTTCCCAATATTATTTTATCTTTTTTTAAAAAAAACTTGTCTGTTAGTTTATTTATTTATTTATTTCTAAAGGAATGAAGTACATAGCAAGTTTTTCCAGGCTGAGAAGCATCTGTGTGGCAGGATGGGTTGTCTGTGCTTGCCATCTATTCTGAGCCATCAGTGTAGACTCTGTGATTGATTGGCACTTGGGCCATGCAATATTTTGATTTTCACTCCTTGAGTTTTTTCTCCTTCTAATTTTATACTTCTGTGTAGACTGAGAATACTGAAGTGTCTAAAAACTCTCATTCTGGCACATTTGTTGGTATATTTTGAACTTTTCAAGCAAAAATATTTCATAGACTTTTTTTTGAATAAAACAACAAAATGTGTTATACTTTGGTGATTTTGAAAGAAACGTTTGTTATAAATTAGAAGGGCATTCTTTGGGATCAAATGAAGGCTTTTTTTAAAAAAAATAATCCTAGGAAATTAAAAATATATTCCTCTGTGGATTTGGGTACCGTTAAGTCTGCTTACTTTTCAGTGAAATGATGAATTTGCTTGTGTGAGCATTTAACATTGGACTTTCATAACTTAATCCAGTATGGGAATTAATGTTTATTTCTTAAGATCTTTTTTTCCAGACACTTGATGTTACCTGAACATTTATTACACTGACTCCCTGTAATGAAATATTGAGCTCAGGTTTAAGTAAAAATTATTTTGACCTCATTATACTGTATTGTCCTTGAAGTCTTGATATTTCTTTTACTTGTTAATAAATACAATAAAGTGTTAAAATCTGCTTCCCTCACATTTGTGTTTATGAGTAATTATAATTTTTTAGAAGTTATGAAACCAAGCTCCTATAGGAGTCATAATTTCTTTTATATCCTTCTTCTCAAAAAAGTTGCTGAATTGCTCATAAATGTGAACTGAGTGAAAATTAATTCCATTTTGAGGGTTTATGTAAAACTACCCTTGAAATGAATAGCAACATCATGGGTGTCAGTCACTAAAGCAAAATTTAGAAATGAATAGCAATATCCTAGGTGTCAGTCTCCGAAGCAAAAATTTGTAGAGTTTTGTGTCCCATTATATAATATGAAATTGTTGGGAATGTGTTGTTTCGTTTTATCAGTTGGACCATCTCCAAAAAGCTTTTCTTGTCTTTTTCCTTCAACAAATTCCCCGAAAGTTTAATTCTCTTTTATAGATGTGAGAGTTTATTCATTTATAAGGAAAAGTCTGAGCAACTGTTAAGTTGTCTGTATCTGAGAGTCTGTTAGAAAACAGCTTTATTCGTCTCTTGACGATCTTCTCCTCTCTCCCTCCCTCCCCCTCTCTGGATTTAGCCTGCAGGACAGCTTTGAATACATCAATCAAGACCCTAATTTGGGCAAACTGAACACAAATCAGAATAATTTGGGTCCTTGTCGTGCTGGAAGTAACCTAGGTAAAATCAGCCACATAAGTAGGCTGTTTCTTTCTGAATACCACTATTGTGGGTGTGTGTTTTGCTTTATTTGCGTTTGTTGTGTTGTGTTTTTTTTTTTTTTTTGCATTATCTTTAATCTGTGTTTATTTTTGTGTGTGTACTTTGTTTGCCCTCTTCTGTGTGTTTCTGTCTCTAGGTCTGCTGCAAGCATGCAGCAGCAAACTGCTGCCGGGGGTGGCTGAAGGAGGACCTCTCCGGCTCACCCGGAGTGCTTCTTTCTTTGCAGGTTTGTGTGGAATGCTGAGTACAGTGTGAACCACACACATATTAATAAATCCTGTGCAAGTTCTTAGAAAAAAATCCTATTTGGCACCTCTCTAGAAATCCAAGGGGCTCTTGAGATATTAGTTTCAAATGCAGCCAAGTTCATGGTGTTTTGAAAATTCCACCAATGAACCTCTATTGTAAATGTCTTTGCTAATACCCCAGTGTAAGCTGATTTTGATCTGATATGAGCCCTTAGTGTTTCTAAGAGGATTATATTTTCTGATTTTCCTGGGCCTCTTCTGCTGCAATGAACTGTTTCCCTTTGCCATGATATCTTTTCTCCATTTGTTCACCTGCATCCTTACCTGCACAGGTTTTCTTCAAAAGTCACTCTAATAAGAGCATGGAAGACCTCTCTCCTTTCTCTCTCCTTCTCTTTTGCTCTCTCTCTCTCATTTAAGTAGTTTAAATACAGTTTCTAGGTTCTTTGCAGGTGTAATCATCTGGGTCTCTCTGGGTAGGTAAATTCTGAGACTTAACTGGCCTTGCTAGCTAAGGCTGTTGAATGTCTATTGTAGTCTAGCATGATTAACAAGTGTGGGGAACCTTCATTACTAACATTAGAGGTTGTGATTATGGCAAATGGTATTATTCTTCATTCTGTTCTACTTTGTAGCCTGAAATATGCTAAGCACCATAGTTAACTGACACCCTAATGAAACTGACACCCTCCCACCTACTGAGAGTGAAGATAACATGTTTATATACTCTCTTTAAAATTGTGAATATAAACATGTTTCAAAAAATAGCTGGCAAGTGTAATAATCAGGCAGGGCACCTGGCTTCTTGAACATCGTAAAGCTTACTATAGCAACATGTCATCTACCATCTAGTGCAATAAGTGTGAAATGTAGATCAATCTGAAGCATTCCTCGAAGTCTGTAATACTTTAGAGTATTTTTTAAAATTCATGCCAGGACATGAGTTTCTCTAAGGAACTCTATAATAATAATGTGTATGGGTGTATATGGAACAGAAGTGGAGGAAGAAATATTTGAAAATGAATATAAGTGTTTTCTCTCTGCCAAGAGAGTGGGTTTTATAAACAGAGAAACATTTTTTAAATTTATGAAATGGTTTTCAAGTATTTCTCTTCCCTAAGTCGCCTGTAGTTAGTACTGAAACTGATTATAAAGCATTTTGAAGATACAGTGCTATTTAAATTCTACTACTAATGAAGAAAATGGCTAAAAGTATCTGCCTATATTTGTTCATTGTATCAACTGCATGAATAGTTTATTATTCAGTTCTTTTTAGAGATGAGCGCCACTCAAAACAGTTTTTGTGCTACAGTAGGATAGTTAAAGGCAGAGGGTTACTTGATTCTGTTTTCTTCTTACTCTCACCATCTTCTTTTATATATTTAGTTTCGCTTTGTGGTTAATCTCCATATAAACTTATGCCAATCATCAATAGCAGTAGCCTACTTTGAAATGTAAAAATTACTGCAGTCCTTTTTAAACAACTCCTTCTTTGGAGAGCCCAATAACATGATTTCCTTTTGCCTTTCTCTTAGCACATAGCACTCCAGTTGACATGCCAAGCAGAGGACAGAATGAAGACAGGGACAGTGGCATTGCTCGATCAGGTACTTGTACTTCCTTTTCTTGGTTGAGCTAATAGAGTGAACTATCCGTAATGGTGATGTAGTTGGGGAAATAGAAGACAGACCTCATTTTCTTTCTTGTTTTGTTTTCTTCTTCTCCATATTCTAAGATAGTCTCACATGTCTGAATATCTAGAACTTTGATGTACAGCATCGAGGAGTGATTGTGCAACATGGACCAGTTTTTCCTAATACCCAAACTCATATGAAACTGATGTTCTTTGAGAAGCTTTTGTTTTAGAGGGAGTCTTCCTTGAACCAATTGTATTGAGAATTTGCTTATTGAGTATAAAATCAGAGGAAGCAAAGCATATGTGGAAGTAACTCTGTCCATGGCTGTGGGAGGGCCTGCCAACTACTTGGTCACCTTTTCTTCTGTCCTAGAGTCTTGCTGATCTAGATTTTATCTCAGGTACCCCTTCTCTCCTTACTTTAAGCCTTAAACTTTTCTAATACTGCTTTTAAGATCTCTGTTTCTGCTTTTGTACATGATTCTGCTATAGATTTTTGATTTGTGGTTCAGATGTGAGGTAGATTCGGTGCTGTAAAAGAAGGGTAGTGAACTAACGATCTGCAATTTGAAGACTTGGAGGTGTGCAGGGCTTTACCTGATGAGCACGTAACATGCACGCAGCCTCCACCTTCCGCTAGAGACTAGGAGCACCCTGCTGGTTTCAGCAGTGACACACGGCACCTTCACCAATGGGCCAGCTGGTCAGTCCTCAGATGTGCTAGGACTGGATCCAGGCCTCAGGTGCTTTTCCTCCTGGCCGTTTGCTCATTTCTGTTGCTAGCTCCTGCCCTTAGACACAGCTCAAAGGAGTCTGTGTGTTCCTTCTGTGTAGCACCAGAGTCCTTCATCCCACTGGGTTCAACTTTGCTCCTGAGTTATTAAATGAAATGTAATTTGTTACTGAATCCGCATATTTGGTTTATATATGTCACATAATGTAAAGTACGCATCATTTTATTTATGGTTAAATAAAAATACTTGATTCGATTTGTTTTTCAGAACCTTTTCTGTAAAGCTGGACAGTGAACCCTTAGTCAGAAATGTAACTCCTCTTGATTAGACCTGTATCATTTCCATTTATAGCAATTTTTGTACAAATGTAAAATCTGAGAAGATAAAGAGCAACTTATGAAGTGCTAAGAGAACTGTTTTTATTTTTGTTTGTGTTTGTGGAACTCAGGATAATTGCCCCATTCCATATGGGGCACTATCAGTGTTCTCTACTGTAAGAGTATCTGAACTCTTTTTTTTCTTTTTTCCTCCCCAAAGCCCCAGTGCACGTTTGTATATCCTAGTTGTAAGTCCTTCTGGTTCATCTATGTGAGCCACTGCCACAGCATGGCAACCGACAGATGGGTGGTGTGGTTCCATGACCGGGAACCAAACCCAGGCTGCCGAAGCGGTGAGAGCACCAGACTTCAACCACTAGGCCATTAGGGCTGGCTCTGAACTCTTTGAATTACATTAGTATATCAGTTACTCAAAGGCTATGAGTGTACATTGAAGATCTTTTATCTCAGAGCTCAGCTCCATGCCCTTTAGGGCCTAGCCATTTGGGTCAGGACTGGCACTGGGGCTGGCTTTATTATAGTTGAATTTCCAGGCAAGAAAATGTGGGTACTACCATGGAACCAAGATCACTCTCAATCAAATTGCTGTCTAATGGCTGACAAAATTTAATAGGTTTAGCTTTGTGTGATGACAGCTCTTTACCTCTCTGTGAAAGAAAGAGAGATGAGTACCGTTCGACTGGGGCCCATTCTGAACACTGATATTGCAGTTCCTGCAGTAACTTTCTTTTGTTTGTTTGTTTATGTCCCTTCTTGTTCCAGAAAAGATTTAAAGAGATATTAAGGAAACTAATACCAACAGAAACATTAGCAGAAGTTTGGGTTTTCCTGGGTAACTTGTCAGTTTATAATGTGATTGATGTGGGGCTGGCCCAGTATAGTGCAGCAGTTAAGTTCGTGCACTCTGCTTTCGGCAGCCTTGAGTTCACCGGTTGGACCCCAGGCACGGACCTATGCACTGTTTATCAAGCCATGCTGTGGCAGGTGTCCCACATATAAAGTAGAGGAAGATGGACACGGATGTTAGCTCAGGGCCAATCTTCCTCACCAAAAAGAGGAGGATTGGCAGCAGATGTTAGCTCAAGGCTAATCTTCCTCAAAATAAAAAAAAAGCAAAACACAAACAAACAAGCAAAAGTGTAATTGATGTAAATGGTTCACGTTGTACCTGTCAAAATCTCACTTGTTTGGTACTATTCAGATTCTAAATTGTTCCTAAAACTAGTTTTCCTCGCCCTTTGAGAAGCAGGAAAGTTGAGGGGCCAAGTTTGAATTAAGGTGAAAAGTCTACAGCAGCCAGATCTGAATGTTTTCTCATGAGAGGACCTTGAGAGTGACCAGATTAGGGGCACTATTGATACAAATGTGAATTATGAGCATTAGAGAGGACTGACTTTCTTTAGTGGTTTGGCTTCTATTGCAGGCCATCTTTACCTACAGCCTCACAGTTCTCCTTAGGAGAAAGGGGGCAGAGACGGAGTGTGCCTGCTAGATGTGTTCGCCTTCACATACCATCTGCTCATATCTGGAGGCTGTTCTAAAATCGCTGCGTCCATGTAAAGTCTGGTGGGAGCTCTACACCTCTGGTGGAGTTAGAACTCTGTTAAAGTCCTCTTTATCCTCTTACTGTAGCTTGTTCTCCAAGAGCTCTTTTCCTATACCCACCTTACATTGTGAAGGGACCAAGGTCCTAATTCTGAAACAGAATAGAGACTCCAGATGTTTGCATTGAATTAGCAGTAGAAGCTGTAGAGACATTAGAGACACGTTTATTCCTTTTTTCTATAGTTTTTAACTTTCTGTTTGAAGAGTTGAGAGACGGGAAGTGTTTTCTTAATGGATTTTATTTTTTAGAGCAGTTTTAGATTTACAGAAAAATTGAGATGATAATACAGAAAGTTCCCATATAACCTGTACCCAGTTTGCCCTATTATTAACATCTTACATTAATATTGGCATTTGTTATAATTAATGAACCAATATTGATACATTATTATTAGCTGAAGTCCATAGGCAGCTTATTTCTTTAGTTTTTACCTAAGGTCCTTTTTCTGTTCCAGGACCTTGTTACATTTAGTTGTCATGTCTCTTTGAGCTCCTCTTGGCTGTGGCGTTTTCTCAGACTTTCTTTGTTTTTGATAGCCTTGACAGTTTTGAGAGGCAGTGGTCAAGTATTTTGTAGAATCCTCACCATTAGAATTTGTTTGATGTTTTTCACATGTTTAGAGGGGTTTTTGGAAGAAAGATCACAGAGGTTAAGTGCCATTTTCATCACATATCATATCAAGGGTACATACTATCAGCATAATTTATGACCATTGACGTTGGCCTTAATTACCCAGCTGACATAGTGTGTGTCAGGTTTCTCCACTGTAAAGCTGCTCTTTATTTCCCCCTCACTTAGGGGGAAACTTAGGAAGGAAGTCAGTATGCATAGCCCATGCCTAGGGAATGGAGAGTTATGCTCCTCCTCCTTGAGAGCAGAGTATCTACATAAGCTGTTTGGAATTCTCCTGCATGAGAGATTTGTCTCTTGTCCCTCATTCATTCATTCATTCAGTCAGTCATTTATATCAATAAGGACTCATAGATATTTATTTTATACTTTGGGTTATAACCTAATACTACTTTAGGGGCCAGCCTGGTGGTGCAGCAGTTAAGTTCACACGTTCTGCTTCTTGGCGGCCCAGGGTTCGCCAGTTCAGATCCCGGGTGCGGACATGGCACCGCTTGGTAAAAGCCATGCTGTGGTAGGCGTCCCACATGTAAAGTAGAGGAAGATGGGCATGGATGTTAGCTCAGGGCCAGTCTTCCTCAGCAAAAAGAGGAGGATTGGCAGTAATTAGCTCAGGGCTAATCTTCCTAAAAAAAAAAAAAAAAAAGGAAAACCTAATAGTACTTTATTTTATTATTCAGATTGTTCCAACTTTGGCCATGGAAACCATGGAGCTCTTTCAGTTGACTCCTGCATGTCTTTAACATACCTCCTTCTGTGTGTGTGTGTGTGTGTGTGTGTGTGTGCGTGTTTTGAGCATTTCCTTACTTTCTGGCACTACAAGATGTTCCAGACTTGTCTTGTGTATTTCCTACCCCATTCCTAGAATCAGCCTTTTCTCCACGGAGCCTTGTCCTTTTATTAGAGAATGGTATTAGATTCCAAGATCTGGATGATAGATGTGCTTCTTGCTACTGGAGTGTCATTTCTTATAGACCCTCTCAGCTGACAGGCAAAAAATATGGGTTTATGCTGACTGTGTATATACATATATCTATAAATATTGCTGTATGTAACATCTGTGTCTATAATAAGTTAAACATGAGTTTGTACTGATATCTCTATTATCCATTACCCATTAACCACATGGAACATTCTACCTTCCTACTCTTCTTGCTTATCTGTAAATTCCCACTCCAACAGTGAGAAACCTGGCTCCCACTGTCTGCCATCCATTTAATTAATTGTGTTTTTCATTTCAGTATACATATATAGCAGTGTCAGAATTGTTAACCTGTACCTCTGTAGGAAACAACTTTATTAAGCGGAGTGCAGAGCTTATGTGTGTAGTTCCTCTTACCTTTAGTCTTACAGACATCCACTCATTTCCAAAGTTACTTAGGTCAGCACCTTTCAAGATTGGGGAATTTTTGTAGCTGTATATACCAGGCTAGCAGAATCTCTCAAATCATAGCTGAGACCAGTTCATCTTGCAACTGGCTTCATGAATGCTACCCAAAATTCTGATTATCGCAAGTCAGGTCTGAACAATAATTTAAATTTCTTTTTTTTTTTTTTCCAGTAGTCCAGTAAAGAAGTAACTTTAGAAAAGCTTTTATTTTGTTGTTTTTTAAATCGTTATTTATAGAGAGAAACTTGTTCCAGGACAGAAAGGAATTTTGGA